TAGAATACGAGAAATGTTAGAAACTTTTAGCGTGAAGAAAAGCTGTATAAAATGTGAATTGTTGCAACTTTTGGGACATTTGAACTTTGCTTCTCGCGTTATCGAACCAGACGATCATTTGTTTCTTATTTGTTGAGCCTAGCATCTTCTGTGCGTGAGCTTCATCATTACATTCATCTGACCTCAGAGTGCAGAGAAGACATCAGAATGTGGAAATTGTTCTTAGATCAGTGGAATGGCTTTTTTCTATGATATCGCAAGAACTCCAGCTAATAGTATGCATTTGTATACAGACGCCTCATCTACCCTTGGATTCGGGGGATATTTCAAAGGTCACTGGTTCATTGACAAATGGCCAGATGATTTACCAAGCGAACAAGACAAGGACATATCTATGGCGCTACGTGAACTGTACCCTATCATTGTTGCCTCCATTCTCTGGGGACATCGTTGGTCTACCAAAAGAATAGTTTTTTATTGTGACAACCTAGCCACTGTGAATATTTTACAAAAAGGGCGTTCTAAAGTTCTTTCTATTATGAAACTAATGAGACAGTCAACCTGGTGTTCACCTAAATACAATTTCTGCATTTATTCTGAATTCCTTCCAGGTAAAACTAATGTAATCGCAGATGCTTTATCTCGATTTCACAAGTTCAGAAGCCTAGCTCCTCAAGCAGACAGACACCGTCATCCCTGCCCATCCCTGCAGGACGTCCTTTGGAAACCTCTCACAGAATAGAAGCATTGATGGAAGACTCCATATCCGTTTCAACTAAAGCTACATATAACTCCGGATATCAAGCCTTCTTAAAATTTAGCTGTATGAACAACATGTGTCAAAGTATGTCAGAATCTACTTTAATGGAATTTGTCACCTGTTACGATTCCACGAACCTGTCTTACCAAACAATAAAGCTTTACCTCTGCAGGATTCTGACACCATCTCATTCTGCTCGGTATACCTAACCCCTTTACCGATTTGGCAGGCAATTTACCTAGATTGCACATGCTACTTAGCAGTATAAAAAGACAAAGTCCATCCTACCATCCAAGCCCACAACCTATTACTTACAATGTATTACAAGACATGCAGCGTGCTTCAAAAAGGTGTGAACTCAAAATACATGGATACGTTAATGACAACAGTGTGTATAGTGGCTTTTTTCAGTTTCCTCAGATGTGCTGAATTTACATGCAAAGCAGCCTTCGACCCTCACGTTAATCTGTGCGTAAGCAACCTACAATTCTACGATGACCACGTCGTTCTCTTCTTTAAACAATCCAAGAATTACATGTTCCGAAAAGGATTAGGGATCAAGTTGTTTAAAAATAATTCTGTATTATGTCCATTTCAACAACTAAAGAACTACTTATCTACAAGAAATGCCATTTTTGATCCCTAAGTGCACTTCCCCCTCTTCATCATGGAAAATAGAAGTGCCCTTAGTCGGTGTAATTTTTTGACTATGTTAAGGGATCTACTGAAGCGTTAAACCATGGTGACAGCTACATCACTGGACATTCTTTCCGAATTGGTGCTGCTACATCTGCAGCAGAAGCCCCCATCGAAGACCACCTTATCAAATCACTAGGAAGGTGGACCTCCGATTCATATACGAGATATATCAAAACCCCAGACTCAGCCATCTAACACGCGCAACAGTCCATCCTCATCACCAGTTGACTTTTGCGAGAGATTCTGAAAGCACTGTTCAACAGTCTGATGACTCGGGCACCATTGTGAATGTGTACATAGTGTTTAATTGATTTCTCAATATTTTTAAACTTATTGTTTCCTGATTACAGATTAATTTTCATGCTCTCTTTCGAATTTATGTATCGTTTATAACTTGCTTTGTATTTCTTGTGTCGCTATCATGTTGTTATATTTTTCTTGTATAAAACAGCTTACTATGTCGCAATCCCCCTTCACCCAAGGATGCTTTGTACTAAGTTTGGTTAAAATTGGTCCATTGGCTCTTGAGAAGAAGTCGAAAATGTGAAAAATTTACGGACAGACAGACAGACAGCTAGACGGACGGACAAAATGTGATCAGAAAAGCTCACTTGAGCCTTCGGCTCAGGTGAGCTAAAAAGATTTTAAAGAATTTTTCCTACATTCTTAGTTTATCAATGTCAAACTGTTATCCTCTATTGTGGCCCCATCCTACCACTGGAGGCCATGATTCAAATAATTTAGCATTTTCTTCTCTCTTTCACCTGTTTAGTGCTTCTTGAAAAAAAGTTTTTTAAAAGACCCCACTTTATTATTGCCCTTGGCCCTTCATTTGATTAATATAAAATCTCCTTCACCTTAAAAAGTGAAAATATTTCTATGCATGATGCAAACATGGGCTTAATCAGAGAGCAATAGTCCAATTTGACTGATAAAGTTACAAAGTTTTCAGTGAACTCACCTCGAACTGTTTTGTAGTAGGAGTGTCTCTAGAAGTTGATCCAGAAAAAGGAGAATGAAACCCATCTTGGGCAGATTCTTTGAACATCATGGGAGCATTTTGGAAATCAGCAGTCTCGCTGAACAATGAAGGTTCTCCAGTGTTTAATGTCATATTAACTGCAGGACATGTGGTCCTAGAAAATAAAGCTTGACTTTGATTATCATTAGCTGAAACTGGAGGAGGAAGGGACATTTTCTTCATTAAAAATCCAGACACAAAGGGTTTTTTAATGTCCTTGGAACTCAAGAAAAAAAACTGGGAAAGGGTTTGGGCCTCCCCCTCACTATCACTGTCATGTTTTTCTGGTTTGGGGGGACCAACAGCCTCCTTGGGTGCGAGCTCGACATTACATTGAAAGCTTGTGGAGCTGGCTTCTTTGTTAGTGTATGAGGAATTAAGGCTCTGTTCTTCTCTTTGATGGTGGCATGAATTGGCAGAGGAAGTACAGCAAATAATCCACTTTTACCCTTGAAATAAGAATAAATCTGTGAATATTTATATAAACATTTATAATCACATGTCCTTTTTTCACTTTTTGAGAGAATTTGAAAAACAAGATGCCCATGGGCCACATTGCTCACCTGAGAACATGAGCTAGTTAAAAATCACAAATCAGCTTAGTATTGAAAAACTTACTTGTTGGGGAGGGGGATTTGAAGGATCCATGTCTCCAGAATGTCACTATATCAGTAAAGCATACATGTATAATTTTGCCATGCTTGAAAAGAAGATTTTTAAAGATTTTTCCAACATATAACTCGATCTCCAGTTGTGACCCCTCCCCTCTCTCCCGGGCATTATTTGAATAAATTTAAATCTTCACTTCTTGCAGATGCCTACATGTCAATTTGACGAAACAAAACTTTTTTGATCTGAAGAAAATTTTCTGATATATTCTATGTTTATTATATATGCAAAACTTTTGTGGCCATCCCTCATTGTGGCCAAACTTGTATCTACACTACCTGAGGATGCTTCCACATGAGTTTGATCTTTCCTTGGCCCAATGGTTCTGGAGAAGATTTTTCAAAAGATTTTTCTATAATATTGTCCCAGAAAAACTTTGAACATTTTTAATCGCTTTTGTTTCACTAGGACTATAAAGTTAAAAACTGGCATACATCATGATCTACACTACCTGAGGATGCTTCCACATGAGTTTCATCTTTCCTGGCCCAATGGTTCTTGGAGAAGATTTTTAAAAGGATTCCATTAATTTTTCATTAAGTCATATTATCTCCCCTTGCAAGAAGGGCTTGCTTCTTCATTTGAAGAAGCTTCTTTCTACCCCCTTCACCCAAGGATACTTTGTGGCAAGTTTGGTTAATATTGGCCAAGGGGTTCTTGAGAAGAAGTCGAAAATGTGAAAAGTTTACAGAAGGATGGACGGACAGACGGAACTACAGACAAAATGTGATCAAAAGCTCACTTGAGTCTTCAGCTCAGGTGAGCTAAAAATCAGATAAAGTTTAACTTTTGTCTTGAAATTTATCAAACACAAATTGAAGAACTTTTAAATATTGCTGTTCAGGGACCTTATTCACAAAGCCTCCGTAATTTCCGCAGTCGCGGCGAGTTTACCGAAGGATTGCGGGAAAGTTTACGGAAAGATTACGGATGGTTTACGGCGTATTCACGAAGCTCCCGTAAACTTTGCGAAATTTACGGAAAGTTTCCGCAAGTGAAACACGCTGAACGGGCACCTGCATTGACAGAATATAGAGTTATGAACACATTAAAATTTGAAATAGTATAAGCGTGTTTTGTTTATTTTTTTAATCAAATGTCTTGCATTCTCTAAATAAAAAAAAATGTGAAGTGAGAACAGAATAGAATCAAAAATTAAATGAGTATAAATAACTTTCTAAGAAAAGAAATGGAAAAAGACAGTATTTTTTCAAGTATATAAATATTTTAATATAAAAAAATTATAAAGGTTTCTAAAGATTAGTTTTAACTATCATAATCAAGATATTTCTTATTCAATGCATTCATGAGCTCGTTAGTAGGTACATTAAAATTTGTCATTGTATTCTTTATTAGTACAAGTTTGACTCATAGTTAAACAATTAAATTTCAAAATATCATAATAGTATAAACATGCATAGATCCACATGACCTTACATGTATATTGTAACTTATCTCCGATTCTTACTTGTCAGATTGTGACGTCATTTCATGAAAATGCACGTCACTAAATCAGAAAGTCTGAAGATGGAAGAGAAAGAAGAAACCCCGATTTTCGGAAAAAGAAATTGACATTCTAGTGCAAAGGGTAAAGGAACGATCAGAAATAATTAACTCAAAATTTAGTGATGTCGTTAATAATGCAAAAAAGCAATCGTGGATAGAGATTATGGAAGCGGTGAATGCAGTTTCCTTCTCAAGAAGAACAATTGACGAATTGAAGAAGAAATGGGATGATCTTAAAAGGGGGACCAAAAAGAGGGCCTCTGCCGTGCAGAGAGAACGTACGAAAACGGGAGGTGGTAAACTAAAATAGTGCCCCTAAGTTCAATGGAGAAAGAGGTGGTGTCGGTTATGGGCGAAGAGAGGATCTTTGGGTTTAGCGCGGCAGTAGACACCATGAATCCTCAAGTAAGTAGTTTCTTCAAGTTAAATTCATTAACAAGAAAAGAAGAGTATAAGCTTGTTTCTACTTCCCCGGACAATATAATCGTCATGATCAACTAGAAAACTGACCAGTCAGCAAGGGCCCCGCCTTGGGGTAGAATTAAAAGGGTGCAGCTTACGAATGATTAAAAATGTACGAAGAATAAGCAACAGCAACTGTATTCTTAAAATTTTAAGATAATTCCTGAATATTTAAAAACCTGAAAATAATATCCTTGTATTTACATTAGGCAGTAAAGAACAACTTAACATTGAATGTATATTTAAACAATTATGAAGCTTGTGTTATATAATAACGCCAGCCTTTAATGAATGCAAGTATCATGAAGGCTTGACCTTAACTTCAAACAAACAGCAGTTGCGACAAAGGTTTTTCATTAATCTTAAAGATAAAGAAAAGCCTACTAAATTTTCTGCAGCAGGCTAGACAGAATTAATCCCAAAGGATTAATTGTATCTCTCTATCACTTTCTTCTAAAGTTACAATAAGAACTTTTTCAGTATTAATGATAGAATGGGGTTTTTATACAACTACCTTAAAAATTAATTAACATAAAGTGAAAAAAAGTAAATCAAAAAATCTTTTTTAATCTATTTCTTGTTTTTAGCATTCAATGAAATCATAACTATTAAACAAAAATAAATTACAAAAATTTATATTTAAATCCACATTTCTGAGTGTTCATAGCATTCCAAATTGACTTAACTTCAAAACAAACTTCATTTGCAGATAGAGGTGGTAATTCATCTCAATGTGACAGATAAAGATAATGCTCTGGATTTTCTTCAGGAGGAAAGCTAATTAATCCCAAGGGACTCATAGCCAGCATTCAGTTTACAATGGGAACATCTTCAGCAGTTATCTCTCTTTGCCAATGCATTCTTATAAAGTTAAGGAATCTACCCCACCACCCCAGCTCCAAACCAGGGGACATAGAGAACCAAACTTAGCATCAAAATATGTATTTCTGCCTACTGAACTACCATACCAAATTTGTACTTGATTGGGCAACCATAAAAAAAGTTGCCCATTCATTCTTATGCATAGTTAAGGAATCTACCCCACCACCCCAGCTCCAAACCAGAAAACATAGAGAACCAAACTTAGCATCAAAATATGTATTTCTGCCTACTGACACACACACACACACACACATTTGAACCACCACATACCTTGATTGGGCAACCATAAAAAAAGTTATTAGAAAAAAACAGAAAATTTGTGGACGGAAGAGTGACAGACGGACAGACAGAGTGATTACTATAGGGCACCCGCAAATCCTTGCGGGGCCCTAATAAAAACAAGAGGCCCATGGGCCACATCGCTCACCTGAGCACCAAGGGTAGGACTAGTATAAAATGGCTTTTTATTGTAAAGTTCAAATCCAAAAGTAGTCCCATGACCAATCTTGGATTTGCTATTTTTTAGAAAATGATTGAGAAGAAGATTTTTAAAGAATTTTCCTATATATTTCTATGTAAAAATTTGGTTGGCCATTTTGGCCCCGCCCTACCCCCGGGGGTCATGATTTGAACAAAATTGAATCTACACTACCTGAACATGCTTCCATATAAATATGATGAATAATGGCTTTGTCCTTCTTGAGAAGAAGATTTTTAAAGAATTTTCCTATATATCTCTATGTAAAACCTTGGTCGGCCATTTTGGCCCCGCCCTACCCCCGGGGGTCATGATTTGAACAAATTTGAATCTACACTACCTGAGCATGCTTCCATATAAATATGATGAATTATGGCTTTGTCATTCTTGAGAAGAAGATTTTTAAAGAATTTTCCTATATATTTCTATGTAAAACATTGGTCGGCCATTTTGGCCCCGCCCTACCCCCGGGGATCATGATTTGAACAAACTTGAATCTACACTACCTGAGCATGTTTCCATATAAATATGATGAATTATGGCTTTGTCATTCTTGAGAAGAAGATTTTTAAAGAATTTTCCTTTATATTTCTATGTAAAACTTTGGTTGGCCATTTTGGCCCCGCCCTACCCCTGGGGGTCATGAATTGAACAAACTTGAATCTACACTACCTGAGCATGCTTCCATATATATATGATGAATTATGGCTTTGTCATTCTTGAGAAGAAGATTTTTAAAGAATTTTCCTATATATTTCTATGTAAAACTTTGGTCGGCCATTTTGGCCCCGCCCTACCCCCAGGGGTCATGATTTGAACAAACTTGAATCTACACTACATGAGCATGCTCCCATATAAATATGATGAATTATGGCTTTGTCCTTCTTGAGAAGAAGATTTTTAAAGAAGTTTCCTATATATTTCTATGTAAAACTTTGGTCAGCCATGTTGGCCCCGCCCTTACCCGGGGGGTCATGATTTGAACAAACTTGAATCTACACTACATGAGCATGCTCCCATATAAATATGATGAATTATGGCTTTGTCATTCTTGAGAAGAAGATTTTTAAAGAATTTTCCTATATATTTCTATGTAAAACTTTGGTCGGCCATTTTGGCCCCGCCCTACCCCCGGGGGTCATGATTTGAACAAACTTGAATCTACACTACCTGAGGATCTTTCCCCATAAGTTTCATCTTTCCTAGCAAAGTGGTTCTTGAGAAGAAGATTTTTAAAATATACCACTAAATTTTCATTAATTCCCAATTATCTCCCCTTGAATAAGGGTGTGGCCCTTCATTTGAACAAACTTGAATCCCCTTCACCCAAGGATACTTTGTGGCAAGATTGGTTGAAATTGGCCCAGCGGTTCTTGAGAAAAAGTCGAAAATGTGAAAAAGTTTACAGACAGACGGACAGACAGACAGACAGACGGACGCCGGACAAAATGTGATCAGAAAAGCTCACTTGAGCCTTCGGCTCAGGTGAGCTAAAAAACTATTACAAATTTGTTAGTGTGTTCGGATAATAGGCACCTAAATAAAAAATTATCATATTGATAATAATAATGAAAAAGGAAAACATAATACATAATATAATTTATAGATTTATTATTTTTTCATACACCCATTCTTTTAAAATTTATATCTATGAAAGGTAAAAGTCTTAATATATAACATTCAAGAAAAAGTATTTCCCAAATATATAGACTCCAGCCAAGCCATCGTCTGCTGATATTCCGGTGTCATCTGATGTTCCGGAAGCTGTCCAAGATCACCCATTCAGCAACAGTAGTGTTCAAATTACAGACGACAACTTGGAGAAGAAACGGAAAATAGCAAGACCCTACAGTCAAAAAGAAAGTGATGAAAGGTGATGAAAGATGAGATGTCTTAAGAGTATTTCTAATACAGTTGAAAATTTATCCCTACATGACAATTGTTATTCTATAAACCAACTTTATCCCGGGAACATTAATGAAAATCGCTAACCATTTATTTTGATTTGTATTTTTAGAAAACAAGAAATTCACGAATATTTTTTTATATTCAAGATTAATTTAATTTTCGTTCTTTTTAGTATACATACAAGAAGTCATAAAAACGGATCCCATATAATTTATCTTAGGGTGGGAGTAATTTATTCCTATAAAATTTTCCTCCGCATTTCATCCACTTCAGTCCAAACCTGATTTCCCGATAAATTTCTGGCTCCGCCTCCTTCGAATATTAATGAAACATACTAAAAATACAATTCGGGCAAGTGCATTACTCCGGACGTATTACCAAGAAAATGGGCATTTTTAATTTACATTAACAAAAATTTAGCGCAGTTTTTCATTTTAAAAAATTTGCAGTTAAAGACCGCGGAACATTAACTGTCAAGATTGGAAATATACAGCTTACGTCATTTCTATCTGCTACAATCAAAACATTCAGTGATAGACAATGAAATGTGCAAGTACAATTCGACGCGGACGTGGGGAAAACATCGGAGTGAAACTGCAGATTGAAATTCATTCTCAATCCACCTCAGCCAGGCTAGAAGGCACATTACTGATTGACCCAAAAGACAAATAATTATGTTCCCCAAACGGAGTTTGGGAACAAATTGTTTTTACTCTGTTTCTTATTATTAAGTCTTCCGTTCACAACAGAAGACTTATAGTGTTTGTATTGTTTCTTTTTAAGGTCTTCCGTCTTCACGGAAGACCTTATAGTGATTGTATTGTTTCTTATTATTATTATTATTAGGGCTTTTCGACTTTTGTCGAAAAGACCTATTGTTTTCGTCTTTTTTATTATTCTTTTTCTGAACACTTTTCTGTCACAGATTCAAGGAGATCCTTTGAAAATATACATTTTATTTTATAACCATCTTAAAGATCATGCAAAGATCTACGGAATGAAAAGTTTTTGTTCTCTGGATACGTCACTTCCGGTTTCTAGAAAAGAAAAACAAAAATTCCTTAAAACGCCTAAATCTTTCTTATTTTAAATGCCTAAGCTCCAAAACAGAAAAATACAAGTTTTGAAGTTCAAGATCAAGTAAAAAAAATTGCATAGGCGTTTTTGACCACAAAGATTTTTTGAGATATAAGACTTCAAACATTGCAGAAGGGGGGTGATTTTTTTCAAAAATCACAATAACGTTGCAAAAATTATTTTGAGCATAGAAATATGTTTGAACTATTTAGTAGAGCATATTCTGAAAGTTTCACATCAATCAGAGCAGAACTTCCGGTTTTATGGTCTTTGAAAATTGTCTATGGGAGTTCTATGTTAATTTGAAATCACGCATGGCACGTTTTCTCTTAAAGTAATGAAAATTTTCTCGTGAAGTTTTAAGTCTAGAATGACGTTGATAATGTCCCTACCTGAAAATACTCTGAAAATGAAAATCAGAAAAATTAGGGATTTTAAGGGGCAAACATTGAAAACAGACCTTTGCCTGTAACTTTTTTATTTCTCAATAAATTTTCAAACACTTGTCAGATTTGAGTTAAGCATAAAAAGGACATTTTAAAAAATATGGTCCGTGGGGTCAGTTTTTGACCCCTTATAGGAGTTTTAGAGACCTGAAATATTGTATTTTTAAGTCTTTTGATAAAGAATGACGTAAGAGTTATCTCTCTTTGTCAACCTGTTTGGAGTCTAATATGGTCTCTACGTTTCAATTTTGATATGCATATAAAGAGTATTTCCGGTTTTATGCGTCCCTTAAAATTGCCTATGGAGATTTCTATGTTAAATTTGAAATCATCCTTTTCTAGTATCTCAAAAGGGAAGCAAGGAATTCTTTAAAGAAATCACATGAATAATAAATCTGGCACTGTCTTTATGCTGTAATGTCAGGAAATCAAACTCTCCCAAAAAAGAAGGGATTTTAGGGGTCAGTATAGAAAACAGTTTTTTGACTGTAACTTTTTTATTTGCTCACAAACCTTCAAACTTATTTCGGGTTTGAGTTAAGCATAAGAAGGGCAATTTAAAAATAATTGGCCGTAGGGTGACTTTTTGATCCCTTAAAGGACATTTAGAGTCCTCAATTATCGTTTTTTTAGTCATTTCAAAAATAATTGTGCAAGAGTTATCTCCCTTTGTCCACATTTAAAGAGCCCTTATATTTTCCCTATGTTTTCATTTTGGTATGCAATAAGGAGTACTTCCGGTTTTATGAGTCCTTTAAATTTGTCTATGGAGATTTCTATGTTAAATATGAAATCACGTTTGTTCCATTAATTTAAAAGGGAAACAAGCAATTCTTGTGATATTTCACATGAATAATGACTCTAGTATTGTTTCCAAGTGGTTAGATCATGGAAATAAAATCCCTTAAATAAAAGGGATTCTAAGGGTCGGTATAGAAAACAGCCTTATTTATATAATTTTTTTATTTCTCAACCAATTTTCAAGTTATTTTTGGTTCTGTAGCAAGCATATAGAGTACGATTTCAAAATTATAATCCGTGGGGTTACTTTGTGACCCCTTATAGGAGTTTGATAAATTGAAAAACAGCACTTTTTCGAATGTTTTAAACATTCATCAAAGATTTATGTCTCTTTGTGTAGAAGCTAATGGACATAGAGACTCGTTATGTTTCCATTTCAGTATTGATCTTAAAACAACTTTTGTGAAATTGAACCTTATTAGTTTTAAATTATGTAAGTTTTTAAGCTCTTGATTTTTAAGTGGTCGAAAAGCCCTCCGTTTTTGTTGAACGACAAAAAGATCTAGTTATTATTCTTTTTTTGACAAAATTTTGTGCACGCGATTTCTCGAAAACTATTCAGCGGTTTTCAACGAAACTTTCACAAAAAATGCGTCATTATATGAAGTTGTGCAGTCTATAATGTTTTTTGGAAAACTCGCTTCCGGTGCCAAGTTATGGACAATTTTCTGATTTTAAAATGCGATTTTGTCGCGCACTTTTATCGAAAAAGGCTAAAGATATGAACTGGAGACTTATTGGAGACAATAGCTCGTGACTTTCTGGTTTGCAGAATCACCTTTTTGTGCTTCGTCAATACTTCCGGTCGTTACGAGATGCAAATTTAAAAAATCATATTTTTCTAACTTTTTTGTTTTTCAATATTTTTTTTATTTATTTTTAGAATATTAATAGAGACCCTTCTATTGATGCTTACTATATAAGTTGTTTGAATATTGGTTAATCTGAACTCTAGATATTAATATTTGAAAATTTGAAGCGGGTCCAAGATGGCGTCTGCCTCTTTCAACTCCGCCATTTCGCGAGTAGGGGTTTCTGGAGGCAGCTGAGCGTTTGATTAAACCATTCTGACATATGGATACATGAAATGTAAAAAACTACTTTGACTTTCACGTAGTAGTACGTTGTAATTACGTGTCAATCTTAAAACTTAATTTCCGTTTCACTGCTTTAGTTTAACTGGGCTAGATACCATATGTAATGTGTACAATGTGTTAAATATTACCTTCTTAACGTCGAAATAAAATAAAGGCGATAAGTACGTTTTATTTATTTAATTTCATTGAAGCTATCACACCTATTTAATAGATCAGTCCAAAGAAAAGCGCAAATATTTACTCGTGGCGTTTGGCGCGAAATTATCAATAGTGGCCCGCCTTTTATAATTCTTAGACAGGTGTCCTGTTGCAAATGTATACACAAGTATATTTAGAGCAGTGCTCTCAATAGCTTAATGGTTTGCGCGTTAATAGATCACGTAGTAATTACGTTACAATTCTGTGTCAAACTAAAGATTTATTCCAGGGTCTTCTCAAACGTCTTCTGTAACTGGTTTTGGTTGGTTCTCAAAGTAGAAAAAGAAAAGACTAAATGTGCAAATGAGAGATACCTATTATCATTTGTTGTGCAAGACGGAAAAACAGATCTTAAATCATAGCTATAAGTTATAGTTTTTCAAGAAACAATATCGATGTATGTATATAGTAAGTATAAAACGTATAACCACTGTTTTCCCCATGCACACTTGTGTGATATTAAACAAACAGAAAAGACAAAAATAAGAAAACCATTTTAATAAGATCGTCTAATGCAGTTTATATTCACATTCTTTTCTCAAAGACCTGAATCAAGTTATTGAACATAAATGGTAACTGATTCCTTGACTGTCGAAGAGCGAGGCATGTTTTTCGGCGAAACATTTCAACCTTTTTATGAAAGTGTAACTAATCGGCATAGTTCACTTCTGAGACGGGAAATAAAAAAATTAAATTAAAGTCATTTCACTGCTTTTGTGTTACTTTTCTATAGAATGTGTACAATGTGTTAAATATATTTTCTAAACCTCAAAATGTAGGCTATGAGAACGTTCTTTTTTCTTAATTTCATTGAAGCTATCACACCTATTTAATAGATCAGTCCAAAGAAAAGGCGCGAAGATTTAACGTGGCGTTTGGCGCGAAATTATGAATAATGGCCAGTCTTTTATAATTCTTAGACAGGTGTACTGTAGCGAAAGTATACACAAGTCCATTTAGAGCAGTACTCCCAATAGGGTAATGGTTAGCGCGTTGGGGATAAAAGGGGAAAAAAGCGGATTGGATTTTCACGCTGGCGACCTGGATTCAATTTGTGACCAAAATTTTTAATCACTTCTCAGCTCGACTTTACGAGTTATTTTTTTTTTAGAATCGGACGGAAGACCTCTCGTTGCTCGCAACGAGATCGTTTCTAGTTATTATTGTTATTATTCCTCCCAAATTTTGTGAGCGCGATTACGAAGAGATGGTTGGATAGATTTCGACAATTTTTCACATGATAGTAGGCTGATTAAAAAAATCAAAGCACATGTACCGCAAGGACTGACAGGATATTTTTGTAGTAAAAATCAAAGTACTGTAAGTTCTGAGACGTTGTTTTCTCG